AATTGACGTGCAAATTTTGAAAAATTTTTGGGGTTCATCAAAGAGAACGCGGCAAGGTGTTCAGTGCGCAGACGATCGCCTATTTGATTCACCAGAATGTCACAGCATTCCTTTGCAGACAAAATCAAACGCTGCGTTGTTTGCCCGCGGCGTAAAGAAGCACTCCATGTGTCGTCGTATTTTATTGTTTCCCGGATACGAGATACAGCATCGCAGAAGTCTGAAATACACGACTGCACAGACGCTTCATCCATTAGCCTTGACCGCAATGCGCCGTATAATACATCCACGTGATAGAATATTGTAGAGAAAAAAGCGAGAAAAAATGAAAACTCACCATCTTCTAGCAGACGCTTTAGACCTGCCGCCTCCCTCACAAAGCGTTCGTCCCAAACCGGAGAGCTCTGAATGCCATTGAAACACTCAATGAGCTCAGACCTAATTTCGGACACGCCCTGCACCACGCATGATTGGAAGTTCCAACGTGTTGGTGCACAAGCTGGGAGACGGCGGCTACATATCTGGCGAAGGAGGTCAGAGCGCTTCTGCGAAACGGAAAAAAATGAAGAAAACCCCGAAACATTTGCAAAAAATATACGGACGAGAGGGGTATCAAGACACATATTTTTAATAACGAGGTTAAATTGGTGTGCATAACAATGTAAAAAATGCGCATGAGGAAAATCTTCTTTTATATAAACTTGAACACCATGTTTCGACCCACTCATGACTGCCGCGCCGTCATAAGTTTGAGCTATCAATTTTGAATTCGCGTTGTAAGGCTGTAACACTTCTTTCAGTACAGCCGATATCCCGCAAGCCGTGCGATCAAAGATTGGTACAAAGCTGTGAAATCTCTCGGTAGGTTTACCATCTTTCACAAACCGAGAAAATCACAGCCAGTTAGTTGGGAAACGCACGTGATGTCAGTTGTCTCGTCAGACTGAATCGAAAGGAACTGGCAATTCTCAATTTCCAGAGCCAAATGTTGTAAATAAATTGTATACATTGAGTCGAGCAAATCATTTTGGATATCCTTAGATGTCCCTTTCGAAACAGTTGCGGCATCAAGATGATCTCTCAATACTGTATCTAGGGATGCGGTGTATTCCACCATATCCAAAAATACCCCTCTATTAGAAGAGCCAGCCCGTTCATCGTGCCCACGGAGGGACAGCTCGTGACAACCAATTAACTTCAAAACATCTATCAATCGACCGAGAACATGGCGGTTTTTCTCGACGTTTTGGTTGTGCCGACGAATAGAAACCGCGCGTCCTTCATCCAACTGTGCTGCAATATTAACATTTCCGAATGTTCGGTATTTAACTGCATTGTCCAGATGCTCCATAGAAGATTGATGATCCCTGGCACGCTCGGAAAGATGTTTAAGATCTCTAAAACCAAATTTACACCAACGTGAGTCACGGGCAGTAGCAAAAAGTAGGCAATAAAAACAAAAAAATGCATTTTTGTCCTCGCTGTAACACAACCATTCGTGTTTTTTATACCAAGTTTCTGCGCAGAATGTACGCCGACGCTTTCCTCCGTCATGGGATTGTTCCAGTGAACAATTTTTTGGTTGATAAGGCCCAAGACGTTGTACCTCTAATTTTTGTTCCAGCGGCAGCTGCGAAAACGGAGTGCGAAGTAGTGCATCAACCTTATTCATTATGAGGTCTAAGGCTAAGAAATGCGAAGCCGGAAAAAAGTGAGGAGCTCAAAAGGAATGTGGAAAATCGAAAGCAAATGGACTAAAGGTCTCTAACTGATTCAAATAGCGAAACAAGCGACAAAAAACGAAGGCGAGGAAACTATCAACTCTTCAAGCAACCAACGAACGAGAAGGAATGCGTGAATATGTCAACACGTTGTTGTAAGAAACGTCGGCATTGTGTCGTCATAATTTCGGGGCTAGCCCCGATCGGCCCCGATGATTTAGTAAAAGAAACAGAAAACAAACGGGACAAACGCGGCGAGTGGAAGATAAAAGAGAGAATACGATATACAATGAGCAACCGGGGCAAAATCGGCGTCGCCCCGTCGACGTTCGGCGAAGGCTTTGCGAGCGAAAAATGAACCATGTCGGGAGAATATGGCTAGTGTAGACAGTCTGTGCAACCGATATTGAGGTATTTTTCGAATATTTTTCATTATACCGAAAAAACAACCGGGGCATTGCCCCGGTTGGCCCTATTGACGCGCCGCCACTGTATAACACAATAATAACTCAGTATTGTAAGACTCACAGATAATTTGCAACAGCAAGATTTTCATCAATGCATTTATTGGTGATATATATGACCTACATCTTTTTATCATGATGAAAATAAGTGTGGCTCATTCACTGAAAAACCCTTATCATCCTTGCTATATAATATAGCGTATTCCATTTTCAGGTTTTTCTCTTCTAGTTTGGGCTTTTTTGTGACATTGAGCAAACACACATATGCAATAAAAAAAGCTCAATGGAATCAGATTCGGAAAGATTTGATTCGAAAATTTTTGATTCGAGAATTGGATTTGAAAAAAAAATGTATCCAGAAGTGGCAACCCTACTTGTAACGTTTTAATATATATTTTTAGTCTACACGTAAATTCTTTTGCGTAAAGAATATAATCGACAAAACAGCTGCTTTGTTACTATAATGCAGTGAAGCATCGCGGGCTGGATTATATTGCTCCCCGGGCCGTATGCGGCCCGCGGGCTGTAGGTCCCCGACCCCTGTTTTAGGTGAAAGTCCAACCAAGTTACAGAAGTTCACTTTAATATAATATATTTGTGTTGTAAATTCTCAGCTTACCTGCCGCAACATCCAAAACTTTTGTTGATGTAGTGTTATCGATATATTTCAATAATTCTGTCACCAGATTCTGCGGAGTCATATTTCAGAGGATCGAGGTCACTGTCATATTTATGCGCCCATTCGGTATAAAGCTAGAATAGAAAAATAACATTTTCATTTCGTTGTCATTACTGTCCCACAAAAATTCGTTGATGTGTGTGCGAGTGTGTGTGTGCGATGCGCAGTGCGCAAGTTACAAGATCGGATGAATCGAAAACGCAGTTTCTGTTTTGGGGGATCCCCTAACTATCGATCGATAAGTCTTCGGTTTCCAACCGATATTCTCGTTTCATGCTTGTTCACTCCAGTCGACTGGTACAGCATGTGTAAAATGTTAGGATTCTATTTACCAACGCTGCTATCGAGTCATAATGCAGTTACATGATTTTATAAATGAAACCAATCAACAAATTACTAATTATTACTAATTGGTTGAGAAACTCTCTAATGCGGTACGTGCTGTACTGTAGCAAAATGATCAAAAGTATAACTTTTACCGTCTTTAATTTGGCAGATACCATGAGGAACTGTGGTATTATCGAATATTTGCGAGAAAACGTATCTTTCACAAGAGACAGTTTCTCAAAAATTACCCATTGATAAGGAGCTATGAATGTAGAAATAATCAGTACGCCGAGCAATCAGGAAAACTTTGCATACTACATTTGATCGATTGTTATACCATAAACTTTGCACGAAGTATTTTCCGCCTGGGAGTACCAGTAATTTCGTATCAATTTTGTAGACAACAAAACACAAAGATTGTAAGAAATGTTTTCTCATTTATGGGCACTATAGGTTGTGTTCCAGAAAAGTGTTTTGCAATATCTCTTCCAATAGTCGTGCCAGTCTTGCGGTTATTACGTGTTCATTTTATAAGCACAGTAGATTCATATTCGGCTAAATGAACTGACTTCTTATCCAACCTTTTATACTAATAATTAATTTCATGTATTATCTCCATGCTTCATAACACACACCAGTCGAAACATGATTGAAGTGAGCCAACTTGGCTCTCTACGCTGACCGATAATCTGGCATCCCTGGGTTCTCCGGCATGTTGCTCTCTTCCTTCTGGGTTTTTAGAGAGCGCACCGATATCATTTAGCTGCGAGATCTTATTATTTGTATGTTGTATTTTTCATGTTTGTTTCTATTTATTGAGCTAATATTTGGAGTGATGATCATAAATTAGATGGAATTGTGTGTAATTACTGGAATAAAATGACTCATCGATGTTCATTACTACTGCGACAATGCAATAAAGTCAAAGCAACAAATGTTGGATGAACTATTTGGGATCGGGCTTTTCAAGTGTTTCTGGTGTTACTCGCACATTGGATCACACGATATCACTTCACCGAAAACCATAAGGTACCGGAGTCCTGCATGAAGCTGAACAGTGAAACAGCTACATGGCTATGGTAACTTACTTACTAGTACAGGTACCCAGTACGACACAGTTTACCTATTTCAAAAAAGCCCCCATATTAAAAGACATTAATTATAAATGCGACTGCAAGCCCCGCTTTCATGAGACTGTCTGGACTTCCATATCGGCAAAGCGGCACCGTTACAGTTTCAAGGATTTTCCAGTTTCTTTCGCGATTCTGTTTCAACTTTAGTTGAAATACCAACTGATTCGAGTTACCACGGTATTACAACAGTAGATACCGCAGTCTACAAATATATGGACACTAAACGAAGCAGTAGTTCACAACATTACGAGTACCGATAACCTCAAAAATCGTCCCAGTTTTTAGAACAAGAATATCAAAAATCGGCCGTCACGCTTGGTGGATTAAAAGTGGTGTTCCCATGATTAAATAGTAATACATCGACATTTTTGATGAAATATTAAATCTCATTAGATTCCCAGAAAATTTGAAAGAAAATAAAAGTAATAGCCTTCTAGGAAAAAAATCTATCTTTAACCACTGAAAATTTCAAAGCAATTGGTCCAGTAATCAAAAAGAAGTACCGGGAGTACCCTTTTTTTTATCCACATATTAAATTTCTGGATTTTCAGAGGGAACGTAGATATGGAGACTCATTTTCCCAAAGCCATTAACATGCAGATAAATATGTTCGTTTGTATTACCTGGAGAGGAACACTGTATCTCTGTGGGTCCATGCTTGAGCAAATGGAACTGATTCAAAGAGAATATTATATATTTTTTTAAATAGTATAAACAATCGAATAATAGTTTTTCAATCCCATTTTGATTTTAGGTGGATTTTTACTCTTTTCACCTTAATCAATTATCAAACAATTCAATGTATATGTTCTTGTTTTCACTGCATGCTAGAATACATTTCGCATTTTTTTTTGTAATCAATTAAATCGAAAACAAATGATATTATTGAAATTTGTTTTGCTGACTTGCTGACTATACTTAATGTCAGCTCGTTAGAATAGATTGGTGAAAAATACAAGTGGTAGCAGTCTAGCAGACATTTTTTTGAATGGGAACGAACTAAGCTTGATGTCCTTGCAGGATAGGTCCTTTAAGCGGTAGAATATATGGTTGGCATATATATACAGTATATTACGTAGACATAGACAATAAACCCTGATTCGTCTATCACAGAAACAATGCCTGTTGGTGGCCATGGGTTCAGAAAATTTCAGTGCAAGGTCTTTTTCAGAGTAAAAAAGAGAAATCATGCTGAATATACAGTCAACGCGATGTTTTTGTTACTACGCAATTATCTCATCAAAACGCATAAGCACTCCTGACAAAAGAGTTTCCAACGAGTTCCATGTCAATAGGTTGCTGATTTGCATTGGTGTCTCGGTCAGTTAAATATCCGCTTTGGGCATTCTTAGGTTTCAATATCAACCACAAAATCGGACAAATCAGAAAAGTCATTGCAATGCTTCCAATTGCTAGTCGAAATGATAGTCCAAACTCTGCAGTTTCACCACCACTAAATGTCGGATATTTTGCTCCGTAAACCGTAACAGCTATTACATTCCATACTTCTGCAAATACAAAACATTTGGATTAATTTTACATTAAAATGACACTCATTAGTTGTTTCTCAGCCCTCAGCTGTTTCCCTTTATCTGAATATTTGTAGGATCGGGGAAATGAAAAAAAAAGTATAAATGCGATAATTAACTTTTAAACCTTTATTTGAAGAGTACTAAATAAATGTTTCATATATATTATATTTTGCACACGTTTTTTGATCCGACAATATCTGAAAAACAGCCAATCATATTTGAGTTCAAATTCAATATTCGTTCTGTTTGGTAATGGTTGGTATGAGATAGATCATGTAAGCTGAAACATGGCATGAAACTGTATGTCATAGTCTAAAATTATCAATTTCAATGTTTTGAATAGATTCTGCAAAGTAGATGTTGTCTGATTTTGTAATTTGGAACTTTGCTGAGCTTGAAACTTAACAGCAATCGTAGAGAAATACCGACGGTCTGGAGCCGGGATGTAGCCTGTCTTACCTGCTACAAAATCCAACAGAGTGATAAAGATTCGACTTCGTTTGTATCGACGGAAAAATATTAAACTGGTGCATACACCAGCTTTAAAAATCATTGCTAGTGTTAAAAAAGAAATCGCAGTATTTTCCACTGAAGTTCGACCTGATTTGAAAAAAAAAACGAAACTTAATAATCATGTTTTACCTAATGAGCACGACAGTAAACGACGGAAAAATATTAAACTGGTGCATACACCAGCTTTAAAAATCATTGCTAGTGTTAAAAAAGAAATCGCAGTATTTTCCACTGAAGTTCGACCTGATTTGAAAAAAAAAACGAAACTTAATAATCATGTTTTACCTAATGAGCACGACAGTAAAAAAATTTAACATCAGTTATAAAGTCTTCCGTCCCGAAGACAATTACTTCATAGTCATAAAAGTCTGTGAATATAAAACAGATATCGCTGGGGGATGAGTGCAACAGAATAACGTTTCATAAAGCGGTTTCTTCACAGAGCGGAGTCAAATCCATAATTTTAAAGCAAAAGTCAAGGCAAATTTGAATATGAAAATTTATATAAATGTTCCTAACATGCACATTTTGATTCAGCAACACAACCTGATAAAACCAGAAACACGTTTCAAAAAATGCGTCAGTGTAAAATTTAATTTAAAATCCTGTTTTAATACAAGTTAGAATGTAATAATATCAAATGTCTCGACAAGATCGGAAGACAATTTAAAGATTTGGGTAAAACAATATTCAAGTATATATTTCTATAATATTTGAAATAACATTGGTATTAGATATAGTGAATATTGTCACCACAAACTAAATCTTCCAAATATATTGCTGCTTGCAGTCCAGCTTGCAATAACTCCCTCAGAAATTACCAAAGTTCCACAAGAAAGTAAAGTTGCAAAAACTTACCAATATTAAAACATTGTTCTTTTTTCCCCAATTCATTACATTCTTTCCAGAGATCGCGATATAACCCATAACTCTTATTAACTAACCATTCGACAGTTGCTATTGTCGTACCGTCTAACAATAATGAAATCAAGACTAAACCTAAAGTAGCTATAAAACAATAATCACTTGAGTTAACCGCCATTGTAGCCTGGTTAGCCGAAGTGGTTCATTTCAAAACATGGCTCAATCAGTCGACTGAGGTAATACATAATTACACACATCACGCTTATAATCAATACACCATGCATATGTAGTACGACGTAGGAACACGGACTAACAAATTTATAGTTCACGCTAAAGTTTGATTCGGTTTGTATGACAATTCATCAACCACCATACATGGATCAATATAGAAGAAGACGATGAGAGCACATATGGTTACCGCCCATGCTTAGTTAGCATGAACTAAATTTTGACGCTCTCGTATAATAATTCATCAATGATACTCGTGACACAATTTGCCGTTCTTTAATCATGTATACTAGAATTATGACATTACCATGATTATGACGTAATATGACACAGCACAGGATTGAATCATATTTCACGCGTGGGAATGCCTCTATGCGGTAATGCGGCAGGCAGTTATTGTATGGAAATAGCGATGCCAATGTTTCCACCAGTACGGTTTTCTTTTTTTGTAAGTCAATTTTACCGTTTTGTGTGTGAGTTTCTATTGAAGTATATTCGAAAAATATTTGAAAAACTATTTATTTTTTTTATTTATCATCAACATTTAATAAAATGACCTGTCATGTCCAAATATGCAAACGAGGACTTCCACTTTTACAATATTCTTGTATATTTTTTTAATCATTCTAGAGATTTTTTTTTTATGTGTGTGTATAAAGCATTGTTGTTTTCGGTGCTATTTTTAGTAAAATTTTTATTTATTACAGATCCAATGTTAGCTGTGGTAACTGTTCTCGGAGCAAATATTTTTAGGGCTAACTTAATCCGCCAGTAGTCGTTCTTGAGCAGAAACGTAAAGAGTTGAAAATGGCTCAAGCGACTCCCGAGTGCAAGAATTCGTCCTATTCCACCAACTTTGTCATATTTATCCTGTGCGATGAAAATTTACTTTTCAGATTTTCACAAAGATGGCGAAACTTCGCTCGTCGTTGTTATTTACGGTGCTACTGTCCCAATTATAAACGATAAATTTTCATTGCTTTTCCATTTGAATCATTCTAAATTTAGATGCCTGAACACTGCTGAATCTTTTCCCCTGGCAATCCATCTCGTGGCATATTTTACTGATTTTGATATGATTAGTAACTCAAACATTTTTACCCATATAAAAATGCTTTACGAGTGATACACAAAACTATATTATACATATACAAAACTGCATATATACTCGAACCTACTTCTGAATTGTATTCTCGCATTTTAAACGAAAGTTATGATATATACACGTCATTAATTCCATATTTTGTACATTCAAATTAGTAATCATCTATCAAATTTACTCTAAAGAAAATTATGAATGAAATGAAATAATGCAAGACGTTAAACTTGTTTCTGTTATATAGTCGTTGGCCTAAATAGCCTTAATATTGATATTGTCACAACTTGATCATCCCGGCCATGCAAATTTATCGTGAGGGATAATATACATTATCCTGAATTTTATATTGTTCCAACAGTGCCAATATCCCTGTGGTCTAGTTGTAATGATAATGTTGGGTCTAAATCAGGGGTCTCCAACACGCGGCCCAGCCTTTCGGCCAGCCTTTCGCACACGACTAACGGACGAGAGTTTGTGTGCTGTTTAAAGACCAGTAAACCAACGCAAAATAAGGCTAAGCATCGAGACTCTCGCGCTATAAAACGGTGCCAAATAATCCAACACAAGTAAACGAATATGTTTCATGTCTTGCTTGGTGTAAGATTCAAGGGTAATTTCAACAAATGTGTTAAGATTTACTTGGTTAATTTTTGTATAACAATTTTGAATATAATTTGTGCCCCGCGTCGTCAATAAATTTCAAAAAGTGGCCCGCGACATATTTTGAGTTGGAGACCCCTGGTCTAAATGAATATTGTAAATGAGAGTTTTTGACCAAAGTGCTAGCTTTCAATTTTGTTCAGCATTCAGATGCCAGTATGAAATGCCAATCATTGTAAATAAATACGACTGGGTCAGATTTTCACCAAACATAGTTAAGACTCGCGGACACATAATTCTATAGCTGGTCCCGAATAATTCTATATTAGTGATTCTATATTAGTAATGAATATTGATGCATGATTTTGTTTTCATTCTCAAATTATTGCTCAAACTTTTTTGACAAGGGCGCCAAATTATATACAACTATCGGCAATCATTGGTTCTTGTCAATCCTACATGGCATCCACGCAATGATATGAGAGAGTTTTTTGTATTCTTAACTTCAGATTCACAAACATCACTTTTCTCAAAAACACAAAATGTAAAAAATGCGTTCGTGCGAAACCCGATGGTCAATCGATTCGGTAGCACTTAACGATTCCTTTTTTCTTGCATTTATGTTATCGTATTATTGCAAGGATACCACAATATTTAATAAGATTGTATGGTTAATTGAACATCTCATAATAGAGTTATACAAAATTGATTTTTTCAAAAGAGGTAGTGTTCGAACTGGAGATAAGGAAACTTTGAAATACTGTATCTGTATGAAGACAATGTCAAAAATACTTTCATAATATGTCATGCTTTCTACGAGAAGCAAAACTTTGGCCAGGTATTCTCTAAACTCAGCGTGTATATATATATATATATATATATACATCTATTTGCTGCATTTCGGTCACATGTTATTTTTTGCTGCAGTTGGGCTACTCGTTTTCTGTGGCATATGGTGAGCCACTCACAGCGTTATTTTTAGCGGTTTTCAATAAAAAATGGTATGACAAAATTTCACGCAAGTAATACAGTTCGTTTTAAATATAGTGGAGTTGGTGCCCAATCGTCGTCGCCCAATTCCGAGGGACTACGTTATTTAGCCTATTTGCGGGAATGAGGAACATCATTGGATATGGTCGACACCGCGAGCTGGCTATTTAATCATAGTCCATCATTAAAAACGTTCACGCTTCCCCTAAATGCTTTGCTTGTAAGCCACTGCCCACCTGTTGAATATATTTGTAAAAATATAGTCTGCAAAACGCTCTGCCCGGAAACAGAGCTCAATGACCTGTAAACATTGAAATCACTCGAGTGTGACTAGATTGACGGGTACTCGCATCCGAGACCCAAAAACCCGATTTTGCAAAAAATAAACCTCTTCCTTTGGCCTGATCACTTTTGTGGGTTTTGTCGTGACAGACCTTCTTGCCAAGTTTGGCACGGATTAGTTCCCTGTAAAATGTTCGTTTGTTCCCGAAACCCCGAATATACTTTCGTATCAAGTTTCGTCGTGCGTAACGACATCTGACTCCGACTGCGCTTTCGAACTGAAGTGCTCTCGGTTGCCTAATCACAAATGAGTTTCTCGTGTAACAGACGATATTAGACCATGCACATGAAAATATGAGACTACTCATTTAATTATTTTTATACTCGTAATAGATGACACACATGGAAAAATAATAAATTGACAGTATACATACTGAAAAGTATTGTTCAGGAATTGTTCAGAACTAAAATCTCATCGTCTACAAAATTATATTTTGCGAAGTAATTGCAATTTCAAAAATAGAATAGACTATTTTATTGAGGTCAAAGTGTAACCTGAAAAGAGATCTAATAGCGATATTTTGAAAGTTGTTCATAGTGGAGTTTTGAATACCACATGACAAAATTTCCATAATTTCATAAATTGGATTATCTGTTAAATGACTTATTGCTGAAAGTTACGAAGTCGTGAGTTAAACTTCAAACACATATAAATGAGCGAATTTTCAGTCAAACTTAATTTTTTTTTGCATTAGTCGATGTGAGAATTTTATAATTATATCTTAATGGTTTCAATTACCTATATGACCTCAGACCCCAAAATGGAAAATTTGTTCTAGTGCATTTGGATTAAAATTTTTAGTATATTCGGATATATTTCAACATAAGAAAGCTAAAAATGTTATCATCAATAAAATTCGAAAAAATTGGATTTTAAATTTATTTTTTTATCGTTTTTTTCGGCCATCACTTTTGATATATTTGATGAAAACCAATGATGTCAATACCAATCACTTGGTATTTCAGAGACGCATTAAATTCGCAAATAAATGGGGTTAGAAAACTAATTATCGCATATCGAAGTTACTATAGGGTTTCATCGATTATCTCAATTTTGTGCGTTCGATGTCGTTTTTTGTTGTATTCAAATGTATTTGTCTATAATAAGTGCATTACACGTGCTTTACATCACTTTTAGGCAAAAGAACTAGAAAATATCGATTCATGATGTTGAGGGTCTTGAAATCGCCATAATTATTAAGTTGTTTTGCGATAATTTATTGTATTAACAATTGAAAGTATTTATATGAGCAAGTTAAAACTACACGTTGTATTTTGGTACCTCCCACCATTAAATCGAACCATCACCTGAATAATTACCCGTTCTTTGAAATAAAATATATTCTTTCAAATATAGTTACCATTTCCAGAAAACTTTTACCATTACCAGAAACTTTTCCTAATAAATGCAATATTTCGTGTTCTGATGACCGTAAGTTGCATAATTATATATTTAAAACGGGAGAACAGAGGGAATGGGGGTGGAAAACGAAATAACTCGGCATCGTCAGGAGCAATTCAGACTTTCCGTACATAGACGTGTCCTAATTCCTGCGTTGCCACAAGTCTCAGCAACAAATTGTACCCCATTTGTTTAATTAGGAATGCTGTCGCTAAAAGAATAGCTTTTAAATATGCCAGAGTTCCAGTTCGTTAGAAAAATTTCAAGAGCTAAGTAGATCTTTTTAATCTGAATTTCAATTTCAGGCAATATATATATCTGAGTGGGATGCGTCCAAATTAGTCCACAGTGTATAGGCCATTAACTGATTTGCTTATTTAATAGTCGGAAAATAGTTACGCCAGTTAATGTAATTAATATTATGTGTTTACAACAATGCGGAAAAATCCTAATAAAAGTACACAGTAATCAAGAATAAATATCACGATGACCGCTATATATCACGCCCCACACTTTTTCTAGTATTTCGTTGTCAGCGATTCAAAGTCCAGAAACGTTATGAAGGTATTTCGAACAATTTTTACAAAATGAATAAAAATAACCTATATTCATTTGCCAAAATGGGCATGGTTTCAGAATCCAGTTTCATTTTTAAGATAAGGGAAAATCAACATGTAGATCAAAAATTGGTGCGCGTGTTTCGTGCCGAAATTTTAAAGAATTTAAAACCCTCCCACAGCCGGTAAGCCCATATGGGCTTTTCAACGCTATTAAGGCTAGCGCATGGTAAACTACTGTTGCTGTTGCTATCGCTCTTAGCTGTTTATTGACGTAATGCCCTGGTATGAGAGAAGCGATAAAACCTTCCAGCGGTGACGCAAAGTGCGAATCGTATAAATAGCGTGGATTTCAAAATTGCCTGTCAGACGTCTGAAAATGTCGACTCAGCTCAGACAGGAAATACTCCTTTATAACGACTTATTATTGTTTTAGCATGTATTTTCAGTCATACTAACTATCCCTGACCATCCCTGGCGCTGTGTTGTTTTGATAAATATGATTTTGACTGCTCCATAGTTGGCAGAGGTATGGAGATTTTTTGTATGTAAAAAAACGTAAAATTAATGGTAATTTTAACGCGTAAATGTGCGTATGGGATTGTTTACGTCGTTCTACGCGCATTTCCGTCGAAAAAATTTAATTTTTTTGCATTGGGGGTGGTCTGTGCAGTAATAATAAGAGCTGTGACGTCATCAATATCGGTAATTTGACCTTGAACTTGACAATACTGTAAATACAATTGTGAATTTCAGAGTAATAACCATTTATGCTATAATAGTCGTTTTGGTATTGTTATGTTAGGAAAAACTTGACGAAAACGTTGAAGAAAAAATTAATTAATTAGGAATTAATTATTAACCCTCTACTGTACACAGAATATCTCAAAGTTTAATTTTTTTTTTAGAAATTTTTGAAATTTTTTTGCAAAAATTTTTTTTCGATGAATGTGTTTTAAAGATATATTGCTGAATAGAACTCTAGCAGACGATTTCAAAAAGCCATGAGTTAAGATTTAGGGCTTAATGGTTGACAAAAAAAATAAGTTTGAAAATACCCATAAAATGGTGAGGGATTTGAGCTGTCCGAAGGTTAAAAACCAATTGAAAGATACATTATCAGAAACTTAGAAAAGGAGGGGCGATATTACATATTAGAAAATAACCTGAGTATCTTCAAGAGAGAATGTAAGAGTAAATTTATTTCTCATTCACTTTTAGTTTCACACCAATCGCTTATTCACTTCCTCATAAAGCATATAAGGTACATGTATATGTACATAAATTTTGAGTTTGAGAATTAGATACAGATGTTAAAAAAAGACATTCCTTGTCGATCACCAACATATTTTACCAGGCTCGCACCGATTTCGATTGTAGTTTTGTTGGCATACTCAGAATCAACACTCACTTAGAGGCCAGCTTACAATGCTATATCACTTATATTCATGAATGGTAATAGATAAACTTTTATAGTGCACAAGAGGGGTTTGGCTGATAAATAACTTTCCAATCATACCAACGGTTTGTGGATATTCGGCCAATATGTCGTTTTTCCGATATTTGCTAAACAACTTCTTTTTTCAGATCAACCATATGATTTTTCTTGCGATATTTACTAGTTTTATCCTCACCGAATTCTTCATTCTTCAAATACCATCTTTCCTCCACATGTTTTTGAATGACTCCGAATTATCTTATATACATATATATACTATACAATTACAATATATATACTGTAGAATGAAGCACATATTTCTTCAATCATTTATTGAACCGCTTTAACGTCTTTCATTTATTAAACCCTCAAAATGGAAGCAAAGCGCTTTGTTTTTT